TTACTTGGACCTCTGCCTCATCTTTCTTCTTTTGCGCTTCAGCCTGAAAAGCAGACACAAGAATACACTCCTTGCCCTCAAGCCCACAAGCCCCCCGCCCAATCTTATGTGCACACAACACAGGGCGGGGAGACGATCAAGCACTATGTTCTCTGTCTTTTGTGTTCAATCCCTGGCTCTGACAAGTCAGCGCTCACAACGTTTTTCACCGACGATTATTTTAGATTTCTAAACCAAACGTCCCTCCCAAGTTTTGAGCAAGGCATGCACCACCCCATTCCCTCCTCTGGGGCCGGCAAAGTCTCAACATACCTGCGCATTCTCTTCTTCCTCCACTGGCCACCGATTATAACCAGAGGCAAGGAATAATAATAAAAAAAGGTCATTAGTTTAGTTTTTGAGAGGTTTAGATGGGGATGTGGAGAGCATTTTTTGGAATCAGGCATGTCCTCGACCAAATATGAGGGCTTAGTCGCAGTAAACACATCAATCATTTGGCCTCCTAACCCCCACACCCGAAGTAAACTCCGAATTCCACACGCGCTCCTTCCTCACCGCAGTTACCCAAACACCTCCTCTGCTTCTACCCACACCGTCCGTCCTCTCCCCGCCGCTCGGACACCCTGGAGAGCCCGCGGCCCGGGAGCCATGGCGGACTTTCCTCGCCTGGTCTCCACCCCCCTCTCCCAGTCCCTGCCTCCGCTTACTACCCGGGAGTGCTTACCTTGGCTCTCATGGCGCAGAGGCTTCTACGGGCAAAGAGAGAAAGGTTACAGTTAGTTTGCTGTGATGATGGCAAGCGCAGAGACCAGATGTAAACGGATTGTACGCGGAATCCACACACGGGCCACACAAACACCCACCTGAGAAGATGGCGCTAAGGCCGAGAGAGCGCTGCGCGCCCGCCTACCGCTATTTAAGGGCGCACTCGTGTCGTCACTTCCGCTGCTTAGCCCGCCCTCCGGGGGAGTAACAATGGCTTCCGGCCCCTTTCAGGTACCTCATAAGCGCTTTTGTCCTCTTGGGAAGCGGAGTATTTAGAATTTGAGTTGCAGAATCCCCCGCCCCGTTTTGTTGTGAGGACATGGTTAGTTAAGCGTGAGCACCCGTTTCCAGAATGAGACCTAGAGGTGCTGGCGAGCAAAGGAGAGCGACTTCCTCCTTCTCTCGTTGTTTCATGGGAGTTGCAGTCCTGACGACCTCCTCCATTTTATTATAAATAGGTGCGTACTTTATAAAAATGCCTCATTTGTGTACTGGTTTGCCTGATTTTTAAACGAAATGGCTGCAGGGAGACTCTCAGAACCTCCCCCGAAGGTCCCAGGGTTCCAGAACATGGGAGAATGTAAAGTTGCGTTGTCAAGAAAGCTGTCCTATTGCCCCAAAGCGGCCACTGTTTTAGATGAACTTTTCCCTAGCCAACCGCGGTCTTCCCCAGGTGCCTGCGGCCGGATGTCATTAGGTTCCTGGCCGCGGTGCATCTCGTGCAGAAAGCACTTCAGTGATGCCACCAACGGGAGGGGAGGGTGGCTCTCTTCTCTGGGCAAGGACGGTACTTGGTTTTAAGGTAAAGAACTGCCGGTCTCGGGGCGTAGACAGGTGAGGGCACCCGGTAAACAGATTTGGACAGTTACAAAGGATGGAAAAAAGTCCTTAAGCAGACTTGGCCTAATTTACTTTGATACTGCAAGGCTTTTATTTTTTGTTAATTCTCACCTGAGGATATTCTTTCCATTGATTTTTGAGAGTATTAGGTGGGGAGGGGTGAGGGAGAAACGTCAGTGTGAGAGAGACACATCCATTGATTGCCTCCTGCTCTCCCCGACAGGGTGGGATATCAAACCTGTAACCCAGGCAACACACTTTGGACCAGAAATCCAACGGGCCACACTCTTCGGGATGCGGGGAGATGCTCTAACCACTGCGCACACTGGTCAGGGCTTACAAGGTTTATTATAATCCCTTTTTAAAAAAAATATATTTTATTGATTTTTTACAGAGAGGGAGAGAGATAGCCAGAAACATCAATGAGAGAGAAACATTGATCAGCTGCCTCCTGCACATCCCCCACTGGGGAAGTGCCTGCAACCCAGGTACATGCCCTTGACCAGAATCGAACCCGGGACCTTTCAGTCCGCAGGCCGACGCTCTGTCCATTGAGCCAAACCGGTTTCGGCTAATCCCTTTTTTGATGGTTTCTCTTTGCAACTTGTGCATTAACATATCACCCTTTTAGCTCTATTAAAACAAGGTTTTTAAGACTTGGGACCCTTGTTCTAATTGTTTAAGTAGTTCCAGTATTTTCATCATCCCAATATAGTTTTTGTAAACAAAAATTCCATCAAAATTACTTCATTATCAAATAGCAAATCCACCAGGATTTCACCTGTTGACTGCCTAGCCTATAAACTCCTATGAAGAGCTCCATGTTTTGTTCACTGTAGTATCTCCACGTCAGCATTCCTGACATGTAAGATACTCAAATCTAATTATTCATTTTAGACTGACCCTGACAACTTTTGTAACACTGAAGGCATTTTTCCTGGCTTATTAATCAAGACAAACACCTGTAGAGTTTTATTTTTTTCAGTACACATTAAAATGTGCTAGTCCTGAACAAAGTGTCAGCAGCAAGGCTGATGGTTTTACTTTAAGATTAAGATTAAATCAAGCTCCCATAGGAAGTTTACTGTCTTAATTCAGAGAATTCAGGATTTATGTCTTTGGGTTGAGGAAGTATTGTTTTAGAAAGTTAGTATGTAGCAACACAGAAACAGCTCCAAATGGTCACCACTTCAACTAACACTCCCCCCTCCACCAAATAAGAGCAGCAAAGGCACATGATTATGAGCAAATCCACATTTATTTCAACGCCATGTCGTTTTCAATTTAAAAACCTCCTAAGTTAGCGGGAGCCCTAGTTCCCTGGGACAGCATGCCAGAGGTACTGAATAAAATTCATCACCTTTCTCTCCAAACCCCTAGCAATTCATCCAATTCAAGTCCACACAGCGTAGAAAGCCAGGAGTTGTCTCTTCAGTCAGTCTGCTCCTCTGGTTCCTGGTCTTTCTTTCAAGGGAGGGAGGTCAAAATGTTTCAAATGGGGAACAAAACTGCAGTTGAGCTTTCAGCTCAGGTTTGTACGATGGAGCAAGGGAAGAGCCCACTGACTCCAAAGTAATGGACCCGTTAAAATTAATTCCTCCTTTACAGTTCTTTTTTGGGGGGTGGGGGGCGGTGGTGTCCTACAGAAGAAAAATGACTATAAAGATTTACAAATGAGGATCCGTTTCATAGATGAGAATCCCTTGGTAAGTGCAGGCTCCAGCTCCTAAAAAAAAGGAGGGGCCTGACCAGATAGCCTGGATCAGAAAAGGAACCTACCACATGTGAATAAAATAATCTGAAGAACAGCTCCTCTCTACTTTGAGGCCAGATAAAATACTTATGGAGAGTGGGAAAAGAGGAAAAAGCCCCAACAGAAGAGAAAATGCTGAATCAGAGTGTATAAAAATTTCAGCTCAATCTTTAATGGTGGTAGCTCCTTTAGCCTCCTCCCTGTTTTGTTGTAGGGCCATACCTTTACCAAGCAGACAGTAGTAGAAAAAGGCTAGAAAGAGGGGCTTGAAGACGATGGATTTTGATTCCTGATTTTATTGTTCAATTTCTCTTTTCTAGTTAAAGTAGTCTTCGGTGGCTGGGAAGCCTGGCCTCCCAAGACCAGAGTCAGTTGGAGCTGGTTCTTGTTGGAAGGGGTTGGGTTGGGGGACTGGGATGGGGGCAGGGAGACCCCTGATCTGCTGGCGGTCCTGGGTGGAGAAGACGAACTGCACCTCACAGAGCCTGGGGTGTGGTGGGAAGGGGATGAGGCAGGAACGGCTGACTGGGGAGATGGGACCCACCTCAGTCCCCAGCTTCATTCTCCTCTAATGTTTCCCCACTGGTGGCATTCTCTGCAGTCTTGGAGGCCTATATTCATGGAAAGAAGATGGAAACATGTAAATTTCCTTGGGGTAGTGTTTGGGGGACCAAGGACAAAAATGTCCTGATTCTCTAGGTCAGGCCTGAGAAGGGGGGGAATAAGGATATATAAAAATCTATGCCCCACCACAACCCAGCAAGGTGGAATAAAAAGCGATGAGGTTCATGCCAAAGAGGGATAACAACACACCTTCTTTTTTTTCTTTTTCTGGGTTTTCCGACTTGCAGAACTCTGGAGGAGGGCCTGGGAAAAAAGGAAGAAGGAAAACAAATTTTGAGGACTTTGGAGAAAACAGTCTTACTTTCAACACTGTACCTGTTTTTCAGGACTTTGCTGACATTTAGTCCTCACTTTCAGGACAGGTTCCATGTGCTCAACCACTTTCCAGCCCACACTAACCTTTAGCTCTGCATCCTGGACCTCCTTGTCAGACTTGTAAAGGTCAGGCTCAAAGGGACCACTGGTTATCCGCATGGGGCCATTGGGCATCAGCAGAACTGTAAATTTAAACTGGGCAACAAATTCGCCTATGGGAGAGAGAAGTGTTTTGATAAAATGTTCCCTTGTTCTGTCCTTTTCTCTATAAGCTATAGAGAAAAAGAAGGGAACCATATAACCAGTTCCAAAGTGAAACTCCTTTTAGAACTTACCCTCCTTCTCATAGAGAACATTAAATGGCTGCAGCAGTTCATGTTTGGCGCATTCCACCACACCCATCCGGGCCTTCTTCTCATCTTCAAATGCTCTGGGTAGGGGAAGACAAACTCAGGTATCCTAAACTCCCTCTCAAGTCTCATCATTTTTGCTCATGCTTTTAAATAGATCCTACCCTCAGGCAGAAATCGTGCTTAGGATTGCTCTTTTATATTCCCTTCAATGAGGGAGATAGGGAGCATAAGAGAACCCTTGCATGCAGGCTGGAGCTACAAGTCCAGGCAGGAGGGGAGGGGAAGGCAGGGAGGAGTGGAGGAGGGAATAGTATTCCTGGGTGTGTGGTCTATGAGTCACACTAGTTCCAAGCCCTGGCCTTGTGAAGTGCAGTATACCTTAAAGTAAACGGCATGGCATCAAAACGCCTCTCAACCTCACTGAAGAAGGCACGTGAAGTTTTCATTTTCAGGCCATATTGTTTAGAAGGATCTCGTTTATAAATGGTGGTTCTCTGTCCTGCGTCCTTGGCCTAAAAGAGTAAGTTAGGTCACATTTGTTCAGGTGCTCCTGGAACAAAACTTCAGTTACCCCTCTTTGCTAGCTCTGGAAACACTCCTCACCTTGCCCTCTCCTGAGCTGACGAGAACATCCACAGCATATACTTCATGTACCTCAAATTCAGCTTTCTCGTGGTCCTTCCTGAAAGGAATAAAAAGGGAACAGCCATAAGTAGTTCCTGGAGTTTGGAGTTAGGCTGGAAGTACAGAAGAAAACATTCATGACTAGTCTTGTATGGTGGAAGGTAAAGGGTGGGATTGGCACCTACTTCTGCTGGTCTGTGGGATTCTGGATAATGGTTTTCTCTCCATCGATGACATGCTGCTTCAATTGGTGTGACAGCATACCTGTGGAGAGGACAAAGTTATGGTACCAACCATCCAGAATCCCAAAAGGTTTCCAAATCCACCCACGTGAATAGTTTGATGAGGCGGGCAATGAGAGCAAAGCACCTGGCTAGAAACTAAGGGTACTGAGGTTTTTGGCTTAGACTGTGCTAGAGCCAGGATGGATTCTCAAGGAAAGAAAACAGCCTTAATTATGCTAAATCACTGACACTTTACCCTCAACCCTGTTATCTGAGGTCTCACCTTCTATTGGCGTGCAATTAAATGAATGGGCCACTTTGTTCCAGGCTTCGGTCACTTGTGTGTTCTAGAAGTACAAGATCAAATACAAGGTGAGATACCAGGTGTGAATAAGAAGCATCAAGAACTGAGAGTACATCAAGTACAAGGGATTCTCACTGGTGTTTCATGTCATAGCCCTATCAATCCCTACAATCTAAACATACCTTACACTTGCATCTCCTTTTACAAAGAGCTTTCACAAAGATGCGTCTAATTCAGTGATGGCGAACCTTTTGAGCTCAGCGTGTCGGCATTTTGAAAAACCCTAACTTAACTCTGGTGCCGTGTCACATATAGAAATTTTTTGATATTTGCAACCATAGTAAAACAAAGACTTATATTTTTGATATTGATTTTATATATTTAAATGCCATTTAACAAAGAAAAATCAACCAAAAAAATGAGTTCGCGTGTCACCTCTGACACGCATGTCATAGGTTCGCCATCACTGGTCTAATTAAACAATTCTGGAAGGTGAACAGGGCAGATCTATACCCCAATCTAGAAGATAAGGAAACTGAGGCTCAGAAAGGTTAAGTGATTTCCTCAGGACTAAACCAGTTAACAGAAAGAACCTGGTACAAACCCAGGCTTTATGACAGTAAGTTTTGTTTATTCCATTATACCTGACATTCGAAACTGTTGAGAAGGGACAGCAAACTCTTTCTTTGTTAATCCTCACCCGAGGATATTTTTCCATTGATTTTTAGAGAGTAGAAGGGAGGGGGGAGGAGGGTGAGGGGAATAGAGAGAGAAACATTGATATGAGAGAGACATAGCGATTGGTTGCCTTCTGTAAGCCCAGACCAAGGCCAGGGATTGAGTCTGCAACCTAGGTACACATCCTTGACCAGAATCAAACCTGGAACCCTTAGGTCTGCAGGCCGACCCTCTATCCACTGAGCCAAACTGACTAAGGCATTGAACAGCAAACTCTTATTTTCCCCTTCTTACCTCTCAAAGATGATCTGAACCTCACCTAAGCTACAGTTCTTAGACAAAAAAGAAAAGTGAACAACTAATCCCAGCTAATATTAAACCACTAGAGGCCCGGTGCATGAAATTCATGCACTCGGGGCAGGGGGTCCCTCAGCCTGGCCTGTGCCCTCTCGCAGTCCAGGAGCCCTTGGGGGATGTCCGACTGCCAGCTTAGGCCCACTCCCAAGCCAGCAGTCAGACATCCTTAGTGCAGCCACGGAGGTGGGAGAGGCTCCCACCACTGCCACTGTGCTTGCTAGTCATGAGTCCATCTCAGGGCTTCTGGCTGAGTGACACTCCCCCTGTGGGAGTGCACTGACTACCAGGGGGAAGCTCCTGTGTTAAGCTTCTGCCCCCTGATGGTCAGTGTGCATCATAGCAATCGGTCATTCCACCATTCAGTTGATTTGCCTTTTAGCCTTTTATTATATAGGATGTACTAGGTACTGTGATAATAATTTTACACATGGATCATCTCAATTGTTAACAACCCTATAAAGAATAAGGCTGGATTTTATTTTTCCCATTTTACAGATGAGGAAATTTAAATTCAAAGTTATTTTTAAAGAGGTGGCAATAGGGCGAGAACTCAGAAAGTCTGGTGTCATAGCTAGACAGCACTACCTTCCAGCGAAGATACACATAGTTAAGTATATAAATAAAAATAATAAATGTGAAAAAAAATAATGATAAATGTGTTAAATAATAGTTAACACAAGTGTTTACTATGTGCTGGGCATTTTTCAAAGAGCTTTTTAACAGCTCTGTGAAGTAGGTACCATTATAAGAAAACAGGTTTAAGTAAAAATTATGCAATTAAGTAGAAATGAGGAAGAAGTACAAATTGATTAAAAGCATGAAGAACAAGACAGTACAAAAAGGGAGTAAGAAAAAAGACAATACTTTTAAATATTGAACAAATCTCTGGAAAGTTAAGTGTTAGAAAAATGTCTTCACTCATAGTCAAACACACTAAATTGTATTAATTCATGAAAAGTTTATGATACCTGGGCTTCCCAATATTGTCATGCAAGGTACAGAACTAACTTTTGGTCTCCCTTTGTCACCAGTTTACCAGCACTATTACGGTTTTATTTATAACCTTTAAAAATATATCTCTGTGTTATTATATGCTATCTACCTCAAATTATTTTCAGGGAAACAACGCACACCAAAAATACAAAAAAGGAAAGATCACATATGGGGATATATATAAGCTCCATATATCCCCATACAGCGAGCACGAAAGTGTCCATGGTAGGCAGTCAGGGTCTGCTGTTGACTATGAAGCTATTTAGCTCCTGCCTCATCTCTTACCTTACAGAAATCCCATCCCAAAAGGTAGCTAATTTTAAAAATATAATACCATGTTATTGATTTCAGAGAGGACGGGAAAGGGAGAAAGAGACAGAAACATCAATGATGAGAGAGAATCATGGATTGATTGGCTGCCTCCTGCACTCCCCACATTGAGGATCTAGTCTGCAACCTAGATATATGCCCTGACCCGGAATCACACTGTGACTTCCTGGTTCATAGGTTAAGGCTCAATTACTGAGCCAGGAAGCTCATTCTAAAAAGCTATGTGGCTGAAACTGGTTTGGCTCAGTGGATAGAGCGTCGGCCTGCGGATTGAAAGGTCCTAGGTTCAATTCCGGTCAAGGGCATGTACCTGGGTTGCGGGCACATCCCCAGTAGGAGATGTGCAGGAGGCAGGTGATTGATGTTTCTAACTATCTCTCGCCCTTCCTCTCTGTAAAAAATCAATAAAATATATTTTAAAAAAATAAAAATAAAAAGCTATGTGTTTTATCAGAGGGCTGTGGGAGAAGTTGGCAGTCCAGCACAGAACAGTTGCAGATACCTAGTGCACCTTTGGCTCTATTAAGCTTGGAGTTGGACTCAACAGCTTACCTGGTTTCCAGGTTTGACCAGGCGTAGGGCAGCTTCTGCACAAAGGTGAGCTGCCTTAATGACATCTGCTTTCCTCCCTGTCACTTGGGTCCCCTGTAGATAGGGAAATATAGCTTACCTGGTTTCCAGGTTTGACCAGGCGTAGGGCAGCTTCTGCACAAAGGTGAGCTGCCTTAATGACATCTGCTTTCCTCCCTGTCACTTGGGTCCCCTGTAGATAGGGAAATATAATCAGTGTTTTCCTGGAAAGCTCTTAGTTGGTTATTCCGTTAATATCTGTGTGGCCATTATGCAAGTCCAGCCAATGAGGAGAGAAAATATCCCCCCTTTCCTTTTATTTCTCTACTAGAGGCCCAGTGCACAGATTTGTGCACCAGTGGGGTCCCTCGGCCTGGCCTGGCCTGCAGGGATGGGCTGAAACCGGCAGTCTGACATCCCCCAGGGGTCCCAGAATGCCAGAGGCCACTCTGCAAAGTTGCTGTTGTTCAGCAGCTCCTGCATTGTGTCTGCCCCCTGGTGGTCAGTGCATGTCATAGCTACTGGCCAGTCAGCTGGTCACTTAGGCTTTTATATATAGTCTCTGTACTTACCTGGTAGTAGAGCAGTGGTTCCCAATGTAGGCACACGCCCCACAGGGGGAGCAATTTAATTTTTAAGGGGGGCAATTTGAGAATGAGTTATTAACAGTGAATATTTTGCATTTTTTATGGTTCTAGGGACCTCATATACAGTGTATAAATAGATATTATGACATATTTATGTATTTTTCTTGGGGGTGGGGGGCACCAGGATTTTAGATACTGAGGTGGAGCATGGCCAAAAAAGGTTGGGAACCACTGTAGTAGAGGGTGGGGATAAGAAGCAAGCAGTAGTACACCCTCCCCCATTCCCCACAGGCTGCACAGAGTTCAAAGCAAACCACCTACCTGAGCTACACCAACCACAAAAGTGTGAGCCACATTAGCGATGAAGCCATCCACATGGACCCCAAGGTCACTGAAAAGAAAGAGCAGAGTACAGCATTAGCAACTGGGGCTATATAAGTGCTTAGGAAAAAGACAAGTGCTTTAAATTGATTTAAACTTACATTTTTACCAAGTCACCTTCCTTGAGAATATAGTCCTGGTCGCTCTTCAAAGGGGAGAAGTGACACACACAGTTATTTACTGAAATACTGGTGGGAAAGGCAATACCTGTAAAGAGAGAATCATCTGCCTTACTTACTGCCTTGCTCTCTTAGAGCCCTGATGCCTCAGAAAAATGGAAGGATCTTCTTTGGGGTCTTGCCTAAGTTTAATCAGTTTGGACTGGGTAGGACACTGCTTATAACCCACTTGCCATTCCAAATTTCCAATATCTCAACCAGAGGTGGGGTGAGAGTTGCATCATTATGACAGACAGGACCGACTAAGGGTCAGATGTGGGAAATTAGTGGGGGATTGATATTTTACCTTTCTTCATTTCTTTTTCTTTCTTGAAAATTTTCCCTGTCTCTTCCATAATCATGGCATCACCTTTCTCACACAGGCTCAGCACCGACACACCTGAGCAGGATGCTTCCACCAAAGACCGAAGTACCCCTGGGGACAGAATCCCACCATGTCAGTCCTGGATGTGTTGTCTAAGTTACAATCCAAGCAATACCTAGAAGTTGGATCCATAGTTTCTAATATTTCCTAGTGGCATTGCCCTAAGACTGAAAGAGGGAAGGTGTTTTGCCTTTTATTTTATTTTTTGTCTTGCCTTTTATAATGTACCTACCTTTTATCTCTAAGTTTCTACCTTCCTATCCTAAAATGAAGACATTAACATTCCCTTCCCTTCCCAATATGACAACTGGGTATACACAATCTCTCTCCTTAGGCAAGGCAGACTTTCCAACGATGACCCCTGTGGTGTGGTAGGGCACCATTATGAAATTCAAGGGGATCCTCACCAAAGTATCCCACATACATGCAAAGCAGACTAGAAGAAATTTATGGGAGTCAGGAACAACAGAAAAGTAGGCACAGAACTGCTGACTCAAAGCTGATGCATTGTGAAATGCTACCTTCTCCCTTCAGACGCCCCAATTAGGTGTTACTAATTCAATTTATGTAGACTTATTTCCGCAAAAACAAGTGTATAAGCCAGGGGACTTGATCTAAGGTCCCTGGGCCTCGGCAGGCTCATGGCTCACAGTTTTGGGCAGACTGCAAAGAGGTATGTGACCTAAAAGAGTTTCAAACTGGTAACTGATCACAGTGCCTCAGAAGTGCAAGAGGGGGAAAAGTTTTTCTGATTCAAACCACGAATATTATGTACAAAAACGGGGGTAGTGCACTAAATGTCCATTACGTTACAAAGCATCTCCCTGGTCCATCCTGAACTTGACTGTTGTGATGATCTAAGTTCTGGTGATTCTTTGGAGCCTGAAACTCAGGTTCTCCAACATCGGACCAGAGGCGCCCTAAGTACCAACCCCTACTGTCAACACCATTCAAACGCCCAAAGACAAGCTCTCTGTCCCTTCCGACCGGGTTTTGAATGGGAAAGGTGAAATTGTAAGTGGAGGAAATAGAAAGTGAGACGTCTGCCTACCGTGGCAGGCAGCTGCCGAGAAAGTCGGAGCAGTCCTAATAAGGATGACTTCTGCGATCTAAAAGCAGTCCCCCCCTTCCCAGCACATCCACAAGTCTGCCTGGCCGGGGTGGTCCAGCCCGGGAGCAATCTCAGCTGACGGCTAACTAGGCTGTCTGCACAAACTGCAGGCAGGAATGAGCAACTTCAAGAAAAGCCAGCTCCCTCTCCAAGAGAGGGCGAGGACTCCCAGGGTGCCCTCCAACTGCCCCCGGGCGGGCCCGGGCGCAGCAGGGGGTTCCCCCAAGGGAAGGAGTTGAAGTAAGGAACCAAAGACTCCGGCCAAGCACGTGGGAGGGGAGCTGGTGCTAGGGACGGGCTCGGAGGAAGGCACCCGGCGGTCTGCACCGGGACCCGGCGACACGTGCCGGCGCCAGGTTGGCTCCCGACTCTGGGGGAGCCCGGACCACACAGAGGGGCTCTTCCGTCGCCAACAGCTGGCGCTTCCTTTCCCAGATGGCCTCGCCGCTGCCAGCACTACAGGAGGCAGGGATCCGGACCCAAGGGTGAGCGGAGGCGCGCCCGCCCAGCCTCCTTAGCAACGGCCGAGGGTCCGCGCCGCCGGGGATCCTCCTCCGAGCCCTTGCTCGTCGCTGGCCGCACCTCCGGACTGCAGCCCAGGCCTGGACGCTCGGGTCCCCGGCGCGACAGTCCTCCTACCACGCTGCCCCCAGCGGACCGGCGTGGGGCCCTCAGCGGCTCACTCCGCACGACCCCACCGCTCCAGCCCCTCCGGGCCAGCCCAGTGCCGTCCCCCTTGCCTCCCTCAGCCTAGATCCCTGGACTCCGGAGGCCGTACTCACGGTTGGCGATGTCGCCCCCCATCTTATACTTGGTCACGACCAGGTCCTCGGCGATAGTTTGCTCCTGCTGCTCGTCCTCGCCCGACATCTTCCCGCCGCCACCACCACTGCAGCCTGGTTCCCTTGAGCCGCCGCCTGGGTCTCCCTCCCTAGCCACAAGCTGTGGCCAGAGCCCCTTGGATTCGCGAGGAGAGCGCGAGCAAAAGCGCGAGCAAGCAAGGGAGCGGGCGGGCGAGAGCGAGAAGGGGCGAACGCGCGGGCTGCGGCGCAGGGCACGCTGGGACAACGAGTTCTTTCCGCAGCCAACCTCTAGCCGAACCCCTGGACTCCTGAACTACTACTCCCTGCCTGCCTTTCGCGCCTCTACGCCAGGCCCTGGGGCCTTGCCCTACGAGGGCCTCGCACGCTGCAATCGCCGGGCACGCTGGGAAGGGTCAGGCTCCGGCGGGAAGGCGGAGCCGTTTGGGGGTTTAAGCAGCGTGGTCGGTCGCTCCCGGGAAGTCCGTACCTACCAGGAGCCTGGAGCTGGAACCTTTAATGGAGTGGGGCGGGCTGAGAAGGGGCGGAGCCACGGGGGGAGAGGATTTGGAGGCGGAGAGGCAGGGTGGAGCCCCGATGATTGGGGGTGACTACACTCAGGGTAGAGGCTGGGCGCGCCCTTCCCCGGATACCTGGAGCATCCGGCGCGACCTGCCCTGCCGGTGCCTTCGTCCTGCGACGCCGGGAGGATCGGGAGGGGCAGAGGGGTGTGGAAGGAGACCAGGGGTAGGGAGTGACTGGACCGCGACTCTGAAGACACCATCCATTCACAGCCTCCGGGTCTAGAGGCCGGACTCCCACTGAAGATGGCACTGCTGTTCCTGCAACAGGGTTGATGGCGCCTAAGCGAAGTGCTCGGGAGGCTTTTTTACGGGAGGAAGTTCTCAGCCCTGGAGCGTCCAGGATAGAGCGTCGGCCTGGATTCCGGTTAAGGTCACAGGCCCGGTTGCGGGCTCCATCCCCAGTAGGGGGCGTGCAGGAGGCAGCCGATCTGATTCTCATCATTGATGTTTCTATCCCTCTCCCTTCCTCTTTCTGAAATCAATAAAAATATGCTTAAAAAGATTAAGTACTCGCCCTAACCGGTTTGGCTCTGGATGGAGCGTCGGCCTGCGGACTGAAAGGTCCCAGGTTCGATTCCGGTCAAATGCCTGTGCCTTGGTTGCGGGCACATGCCCAGTGGAAGGTGTGCAGGAGGCAGCTCTGATCGATGTTTCTAACTTTCTATCCCTCTCCCTTCCTCTCTGTAAAAAAATATTTTTTTTAAAAAATAAGTACTCAAACATGGAAGTTTCAGCATTTCACCTCTTGAGGGAGTATATCTATAGGGCTTTTTCTAACTTCCCCAAACTTTTTCATTCCCAGTTGATTGCCTGTAGATGCCTCATTAAACCTTTAAATGAAAAGGACCGTGCTATGGTTCGCTCCTTTTAAATTTTTTAAAAAATACTTTTTAAAGAATATATATATTTTTTTATTGATTTCAGAGAAGAAGGGAGAGAGAAACACCACCACAGTGAGAGGGAATCCTTGATGGGCTGCCTCCTGCACGCCCCAGGGATCCCGCAACCGGCTGCAACCGCGCATGTGCCCTGAGAGGGGAATCCAACGGTGACCTCCCGGTTCAAAGGTCAATGCTCAACCAGTGAGGCATGCTGGCCCAGCTTTTTAAATTTTTTATTTTCAGAGGATGTTTATTAAAGCTGGGGACAGTGAAACAAGGAAGGGCCTAAGATAGAAGCAACAGAAAAGAGACTAGGTGGGGAAATGAGCCTAGGCTGGGCTGCTTTGGCTCACTAAGAAGTCAGAGAAAAGGGGGCCTGAGGACTGGGGTGAGGGGGTTAGCTGAGGGTGAACTGCTGCTGCCAATTGTTGCCCTGGTTGCAAGTCTCTGGGATCCCTCAGAGTTTAGGAAATGGGTGCCTGAGGGGGGAGGAAAGGTGCAGGCATGCTCCTGGGAGGGAGAGCATGCTAACGGGATGCAAGGAAAAGCAGGGTTGGAGAAAGCTGCATGGAACAGAGTAGGACTGTCCGAAAACAAAGCAGGAAAAAAAGGTAGCTATGTTCTGCTGAGGAGCAAAGGGATGGTCTACCTTACTGAAGATTTTCATTTGACAGACAGAAAGCTGAAAAACTTTGGCATCTTTATTCAGACACGTATAAAAACAAAACAAAAACTTCAGTGATAGAACAAATATCCCCATTTCCCACCCAATGGGAGAGGTCTGAAGATGGGTCCTCTTTCAATCCCAATCAGAAGCTCCCCATTATTGGGTGAGAACACTTCTAAAAGTGGCTCTTGGGACCCTTGTGAATCTGTCCCTTGGGTAAGAAGTGGAGATCCTTTACAGCACATGTAAGTTATGGTTTACACAAAAATGTCCAGTTACATTTCCTTCTGACCACCCCCTTCCTGAGATGAGAAGTCTGGGTGTAGGAGGCTGTGGTTGTTGGGGTTAGACTTAATTCAGTGCAAAAACAAGACGACAAGGCCCCTTATAGGGGCTCTGGTTTGTGCCTGTTTTCCTTGATACCGTACAGTAAGAGCACACACCTGGGAAGATTTTTGAATCCTGGACCTGCCACGTAATCTCTCTCAAGGCTCAGTTCCTTATTTGTAAGGAACTATAAACTAGTTCACAGAATTGGTATATGGATTGAGAAAATGCAGGTAAAGTTTAGCACACTGTCTGGCACAAAAATAAATGCTCAATTAATAGCAATCATTAATATCTACTCCTGAGCTTCCTTCACATGATTTAAAATTTCCCATTCTTTCCAGGGGATTGGTCATAGCCAAAATTTTACTTTCCCCTGCCAGGTTTTGCCCTTTTTCTTTGCCTTAGGAGTCTGGGAAACAAAGGCTCACTTCAAAGCCTCGTCTCAACAAGCTAGGGTCTGAGGAAAGGGACAGGACACTGGAGTCATCCAATGGGTACATAAGGGACGTAAGGGACTATCCTTCATATCTCCAGGGAGTTCCCCTGAGAAAGTCGGAGGAATGGGATTGGGAAAGCACACAAAACAGGGAAAACCTTCTACTTTCCAGGGATTGGGAAAGTGAAGAAAGTGCACAGCCAGCTACATGCCACAAGAACTTTGTCCGAGTGTTTAAAAGCCTCCAGAGGTTGTATGGAATTGTCTAGACTGGAGGGGAAATGGGACTGAGACCTGTGAGGGAGGGATGGGGACTTGAGGGAAGAGGGGTACCCTCTAGAGGCACTAGCTGCCATCAGCTGCTCCCGGAGTACGTCAGGGAGCAGGGGTCATGTTCTCTGGGCATTGGCCTTGGGGAAAAGCCTGCTGTGCCAGTAATCCGGGTTATCAAAGGCAGAGTCGGTGGCTTCTAAGCTGCGTAGAGTTTTGAGGCGGGTATAATGGACTTGGGGAGCATGGTGTCCAGGCCCCTGGAAGGCTTTCATCTCTTCATACCCTTGTTCAGCTGCTGGGCAAGCCCCCATGGCTGCATAATCCCCCCCAGCACCTCCTCCACCGCGTCGCTTATTCATATATTCATAGTCCTCGTCGGGAGTTGTGCCAGGAGTAGGTATGATGGGCACAGGGTGGAGTGGGCAACTCTGTGTGCTGCCCAGGGAAGCGCTGAGGTCTGATCCCACATCCATGTACTCATAACCCAGCTCCTCGAGGGAACCTGGCCTTGGGGGATGAGGTGGACTGTGCCTTCTCCTCCGGTTCATGTATTCATATTCCTCATCTTCATCTTCTTCTTCGGTGCCCAGGACAGAACTGAGACCCACAGAAGAAAGGGTGCCTTCCCGAGAGGATGGAGTACCTAGGGGTTGAGAAGAGAAGCTAGCTATGTGGAGACATTCACAGTAATTAGTAGGCAGTAGGGAGAGGAAAGAGTCAGGCCGGGCGGGGGGAGGGGGAAGGGGGGAGAGTGGGTGTGAGGAATCAGGTACCTTTGAGGTGTGCATCTGGCATGACATAACCATTCACATCCTCTTCCTCTAACCCTGGTGGGGAGAGTGGGGTGACAGGAGTAAGCAGGCTATGGCGCTGGGAATGGTAGGCACTGTCTCCACGTGGCCGCGGGCTCCGGCTCCGGCTTCTACACATGGACACCTTCTCCTGGAGCTCAGCTTCAGAGCCTGTCACGTGGCCCTCAGATGACTCTGATACCAGGCGTCCCCGTGGCATTGGGTGCAGAGAGGCTGGACGGGGGCACCGTTCACCACCCCCACAAACTACAGGCTCCTAAGGAAGAAAAAAATACACAGAGATTTACACAGCGATGAAGAAAGGAGACTGGGTAGTTCAATGCCTTCTTTTTTTTGTAAGACACTGATGAAACCTCAAAGATTTCTACGATCTCCCACACCACCCCTATCATCCTAAGACATTCTGCCACCCAGCATCTCAGCAGCCCCTGAAAGAGACAGACCTTACCTGGCAAGCTTCCCCAAGATTACTCTGGTTCATAGGCATATATCCAGATGATGGACTTGTAAGGCTCTGGCTCTAGGATGAAAACAGAGGTTTGGACAAAGGGAGACATCTCATCATGGGTCCTTTGAGTAGTTAACCTGAGTATCTGTGGGGTTTACGAGGGTGCAGGTGTGCAGAGTGCTCAGGGAGCAGAAAGCCTGGGGTGACTGAAGCACCTTACCCCACGTGGCCACGTAAGTGTTCCAACTGGCAGGCTGAGGGCAGAGCCTAGTGTTGTCGCCAGGTTGTCCTCCTCTGCCTCCAAGTCCAGGTCTAGGTCTAGTTCTGGCTCCAGCTCTACTTCCTCCAGTTCCTTGTTGGTCAGAGCAGGTGGCTCCGCCCCGGGGGGAATTCCAGGTCCACTCTCTCTCTGTAGGGGCAGGTGATTGTTAAGGTAGATCCTGGTTCCAGCCAAATCCCCTTTGCTCTAAATCTCCTTGACACCTACTCACCTTTATGACCAGATACCGCGGTGGGTCTCGGGCCATCCTCGTGAACTCATTGGCTAATTCTTTAAAGGTTGGGCGAATGTTCTCATCAATCATCCAACCTGGGGGTAAAATGTGGGAAATAGAGTCATGAGAATAGAAGGGAGTAGGGAGGGAAGCTGGTTAGCAAACGGCTGGCATCATCAGGTCACTCACACTTGACCATGACCATGTAGACATCAATGGTACAGATTTGGGGCTGTGCCAACCGCTCCCCCTTCTCCAGCAGATCTGGTACTTCAGCCAACCGCAGCCCTGCATAGGGCTCTGCCCCAAAAGTCATCAGCTCCCAAACCGTCACACCTGGTACAGGAAGACATGACTG